GAACGAAACCTCTTTTGATAGATTTATTTTAAGTTAATGCAAAAAATTTGTTCAACATTTTAGCAATCCAATGTGGTAGGAAGTTGAAGACGCTCTTTATTTGGTGAATAATGATTTTCATCAAACTCTACAAAGCAAGAAATGTCCTATACTGAATTGCAAAGGAAGTTGAAATAAAGGAGGACAATACAAGAAGCCAAAAATTCGTTGAAATCTAGGAAACGAAAGAAATGAAATGATCCTAGATTCCCGTCCTCAAATGCAACCCTGGAAAATGACCAATTAGTTCTTCTTCAAACAAATAATTTTTATGAATTCGTGAGTTAGCGGTGGGAAAATGTCCCTATGCATGGTTAAATTATGTAAAAGGAGTAATAGATTAAAGTATAAAATTAAAATTTTTCAATCTTTCAAATTGAAAATATTTAATTTTTGAATTTTTATACAATTTGTAGCTTCTTAAATAAGTACTCAATAATAATCTATGGATATTAATTTAAATGGTATTAATTGAAAAGCTGCTTTTTAGATCTTTAATTTAATCTATCCATATTATTAATTTGACCGCAAAATATAGGCAATATATTTTTGGATCCGTTATTCACCGACCTAAGCACATTTCAATTAAAACTCCTCTCTGCAGATTTTTGCCAGCGTGAGCCCTAATTAATTGAAAATATCAAAATATACCATTAAAACAAACTTTACGCAAACTGGCGATGCCAACTCTAATTTGATGAAAATCTGATATATTTTTACTCCATTCCATAAACTACAGACTGATACAGCTATGCTAACTCATCATGAAATACGGGAAGCATTTAACTGTGAAGCCCTCTGGAAAATATCAGAACTTTGGTGGTTTCAATATGAGAAAGAGAAAGCTGCTTGCTTCAAACAAATTGGGCGGCTGTTTTCCAGGGTTATCAGCACTCCTCACTACAAACTGAAATAGTCAAAGTATTCGGTTGCTAATTGAAAAACAAAATGAAATATGTAATGGCATACATCACAACGCCCCAACTACCTAACCTATTGTATAGAAAGTTAGAAGAGAAATATAAACTGATTGCTACTTTTTGAACTGGCTGCACGATTCCAAATAAAGAAAAGATATTTCAATTCCATAATTCTCAAACTTATATTAGTGACTTTCAGTTGTCTGACAGCCACACGTTGTTGCTGTTGTTCATGATTAAGAGACCAAATTTCTAAACAGTTTTCATTATAATAATTCGCTTATACACAGTATGGTTTTATTCGCGGTACTAATCTTAAATGCAGATTTGGATAGACAATCACCTTGTTCCTCACCCCAAATTCATCGACGCATTAACTTTGACGATACTAAGTTCAATAAAACCTTGTTGATTCTGTAATCTTGTAATCATCTATAAATCTTACCAACAGCTTCGATAAAACAAAGTGAATTTTACTAATTTAGAGACAAATAAACATTGATTTCCGGTTTGCCATAAATTTATATCGACCCATATGTAAAAGTAAATTTTTAACATGGAATTGATCTATCTTTGTTCTATTTAAAATGAATTGCATCCATAACATTTTCTCGATAGTTCAAGACATTTTGGTGACTATGTCGCCAACTTATTGGTTACGTGCTAACCAAACTACTGCGTTGCGAAAGTGATTCTATTCTCCCAATGAATCATCCCCTTTGTCCATATTCTGCTGAACTATTTTTTCCAGTTCTGATATCATTTCGCTGCTTACATCACTGCTATCTTTTCTATGACCTATGCAAATGAAGCATCTCCAACAGCCTCCGTTCCCTGTCCATCTCGAGGTAAAAGTTGAAATCGTTTTGTCGAGCACTATTCAAAATTGATTCCTCTCTTGCTAGTGACTACCATGCCTTAATACACACCAACCTTTCCCTACGCGTGAATGGTTGACTATGTATCCAAGATAGAATATCTGACGCTCAAATATAAGTATGAGATCATCATTACGAATTCAAAACATAGGTATAATTTAAGCAAATCGATTCGTGAGATTACTGATGTGATCCCAAGTGCTCTACAATATTGAGTGTCAATCCAATAACTTGCTGCTTAATTATAAATTTTGAAAAACTGTTTCTGCAAATAAGCGCCATTGTTTTTCATCGACATGATAGCGAATAGGAAGAAGGTAAGAGCTACTTCTCTTTAGCAAGGGTAAAAAATCCGATTGATCGAAGTTATGGGCTGGTTAATAACATAAAATTTTAAGAAAGGGTAGATGTTATTTAAACAATGTTTCACGAAAAGAAACTACATTACCACATCGGTAAAGTACAATTTAAGTCAATTTAAGTCTTCCATAGAAACTAACATATATATTTTGCTAGTAATTGGGAATTAATATTTGTGGAATCAGGGGTGCGCGATAGACTAACCTCCACCTGGTGAGCACTGGGCAACGTTTACTCATATGGTAAAAAGTCTTTAAACTGGCAGTTGACTTCAAATTGCCATGACTTGACTCTATATCCTATTCGACCGCTTCCACAGTACTCACTTCACTTTTTCTCTACCTTTGTGTCTGCCTTTCTTACATCTGTGAATCACTCTTCTGCCCCCCCCCCCTCTCGACATTTTGTGACTCTGATGTTCCTCCTTCTCTGTGAAGCCCGAAGTCAACTAAAGGGTTGATGATGATTACCATAATGCCTGCCATTTGAAACAAGGCAGTTTCAGGCTCTCTAACTCTTATGGTATATTTTGTAGCTATACCAGCTAGCTATTGCTGTAAACCAAGCACTATGGACAAAGCTAGTTCAACTTCAAGAAAATTTTGTGACAAATACTTCAAACGTGAAAGAAAAACACGTTACCAAAACATACACACTCATATTTGCTTTCAATCAAGGACAGAGGAAAGACTTAAATTTAAACAAACAAATCTTCCATTCTTCTTCAAATACACATGGTCACGTAATGCGATGTACACCAGCGATATAATTAGATGACACCGATTAAAAATTCATAAAGGCATCCGGAGTTCTGGAGTAAATCAAACGCCTTTTAACCCTTTTTATAGTTTTCAGAAGGGTAATTTTGTTTCAAATTTATTTTGAGAATGGAAAGGTGAAACAAAATAATGAGAACCCGCCATCTGGTTATTTGAATAAAAATGTTATAGTCGTGTATAGCACTACTAACGCCTTATTTCATTTTAAATGGCTAGATACATCAGTGGAGGATGATAGGTTTAAGCTTATTCGATAAAAATTTTGCGAATGAAAAAAGAAATACCCTTCATTTTTCTTCCTCCTAATATTTAGTTTAGTATTTCTAATATTAAAGCTTTCTTTCACTTTCATTGACAGTTGGGATGGAAAGGACGAAGTTGACAGTATTGATAAAGATCTCTTGGGAGTCATGAGTGCGGAAATTTAACTAAATCCCTCTTTATTTGTGAAGCCTCTACGATTTATTGGAAAATCGAGTATTTTCTTAAGTTATGGAGACTAAAGGAAGTTGAAAGTTTCATTTTGTATTGATTACTAATAATCAATACTCCTCATGCTTTGAATTTTTTTCTGTCAATTGACTTCCACTATTTCTCTAAATTTCATTGTACTGGATCAATAAAATAAAGGCGAAAAATAGAATTTTCAAACAAATTGGCAAATGATGTGAATCAACAACAGTTAGGTGTTTGAATTCTGTTAATTTCTCTTCCATTTTTTCGCCAATGCCTAAAACTTCCGGTTATAAGAAGTATTTTACAAATGCAGTCGGAAGCATTTAAAACCGTATTCTAGGTTCACTGACAAATCTGAAAATAAGCTCATGGCCTAAAGATCTTTTTGTGGATGTAAAGCATACTTCAAGAAACCAATTGTTTGACAGTTATGAAGATGGATGGGAGAAGTGACGCTCAATCATAAAAAGGCTTAAATTCTACTAAACGACTTAGAATTGGCTAGGGAAATTTCTTGATAGGTAAATCGCCTTAAAATTACGCCTTTGACTTTGAAAATCTTCAATCAGTAAAATTTGCGTTATTTGATGCTAAGCCTCAACTAAATGATGTCCACCAATGGTCCGTTCTAAATCGATGGCAAATCATTTCATTTCAACTTAAAGGAAAGTAAGGAGACAGCACTGAACGGAGGAAAATTACATTAAGTAACTCAAGAAAATTGGGAGTTTCCGCTGACTCATCGCATTGCATGCGTTTGAGTAAAGGAGGTGAAGAAAATAGAGAGGATTTAAATGGGGAAAACGAAGTTCAAAGGGAATTTGGAATAAGTGCGCCGAATTCACACATATAGGAAATCTCTACGATGCGAATAATACATAAGTAAATAACTTTACGCTATTAAAAGTCCAAGAGGGGCTAACAAAGTGAGTGCTACTACTATTGGACTTAAACTGAATCTTTATATTTCAAAATATGAAAAATCCTATTTCACTCACCGATTTTTTCCTTCAATATTTGCTACCTATCTCCGGTCGACTGTGCCTAATCAGTTTAATCTAATTTACCTAATAGCCAGAGAGATGAATATGATGATACCTGGACGCCCTAGCTATTAGCAATGTGAATTAACACGATTCGTGTCCGTTTCTAGCCCAAACCAAAGGAGTTTCCATCAGATAATTGCAGATTCGTATTCATATCTTTAGGTTTAGGATTTATGCTAATCTGTCACTTTTCGACGTCTAGATTTCTGTTCATTGTTTTAGTGATTTTATTGATGGGCTATAGGGAATTTAATAATAAATATAATAACAATAATATGTCATTGGTTTAAATCCAATTATGTACAAAATAGCTCACCTTTTCAGCGACGAGTTGAGTTTTTGCGTCAGTCTCACGTTGAGTAACAAGCAAAGTAAGAACTGCGTGCGATCGACTGCTAGCCTCATTCATATTTGTTGAAGCCACAGTCCTATTTCAAAGAAAAGCTATAAGTTATTGTGCAATTCAACAGGCGAATCATAGCTTCTTCCTGAACTGGCGGTGGTGATAAGTACAGAGAAGTATTTGAAAGTAATTTACAAAAAAATGCGACCAATTACAACGTACCTAGACATGTTTCCAGCTTCCATAAGTTCGTTAATTTCGTCGAAGGATTGGACAGCACATCGCGATAGGTCTTCAACATAGGGCCCGTAGACAGGATGTTCACGAACGCGTAAATTACTCTTTCCATAGGGATTTAGCAAGTCGCGAACACGTTCACAGTAGATTTCCATGTACGAGAGCTATGTTGAAAATTTGATTTTAAATGAAATAAAAACCTATTTTGTGAGCTCAAAACAACTAAAACGTTGAAGCAAATGCGAAGATGAATAGAGCTCTTGCTATCCGTCGACTGTAGGTTCAAAAGACTACGAACCATATGACTCCATGTTGCTTGTTGCCAAACTTCACAGGGACTTTAATTTCTTCAATCTTTAACAAAGTTAGCGCTTTCTTCTTGCAAATAAAACGATTCGTTTTATTTTAGCCTGCCCTTATTCAAGTGTTTCGTTTTTAAGCACTTCCTTTCAAAAAAATCGTTTGAAATCTTAAAAATAAATTATGAAAGTTTAATCAAATTTCGAGTAATTTGATCTAAAAATGTGTTTCTCTTATACCGACAGCAAGCAGACTTATTTTGTTTCATCAAGAAAAACACAGAAAAGTTGAGGATAGTGCATGATGCGGTGAGTTGAATTTAAAAAATCTTGCTATTATTTCATTAAAATAACTTGTTTAAGAGTACTTGAATCCACTCCAGTCTCTCATTATACTTAACTGTCAAGAAAAACGTACGAAGACAATGCAATTTTTCCTATCCATCAAACACCACAGGCGAGCGTCGATACTATCAGCCTAACTAAGCCCTCAGAAACTCCATCTTTTCACCATTATTTGGCGTTAAAATCAACATAATGTGACCTGGCATTTTTCCCAATAAAAATTGATGACATCATTTAAATACCTGCATTTAAATCGTTATTACAAGCCACAATTTAAAATTTCCTTCAAATGACAATTAGAGATTGTAATACTGCATGAAATGAATTCACATCAAAGCGATGAGGACAAATTGGCCATCATTGCATATTAAAAAATGACTTTTAAAGTAGCGATATCGCGGTATGGCAAGGATTTGCTTAGAATAATTCATTTAGCATGGAGTATGTTTTGATAGCTTACTTCAACAATGCTCTGATAATCCAACCCACGATCCTTCTTAATCTTCTCCAAGCGGATGAAGAGATCTCGACAAAGACGTGGTGAGAGACCCATGTGTTTCTGGTCATCTGGCTTTCCCATCATGGTGTAGGATTTTCCTGAACCTGTTTGTCCGTAGGCAAAGACGCATACGTTGTAACCTTCCAGCGCATGTTCCAACGCCTCAACCCCTATTTCCTCGTAGATTTTACTTTGAGAGGCAAAGAGTGGATCCGAGGGCTGCAGGAGCACATTGAAAGTGAGGGAAATTACAATTTCAGTTTTAGTTAAGAAAGTCACTCAACGCTGGCTTGATTTCTCCCATTACAATCACTATCCACTAGATATCACTAAGCTGCAGTTGGTTGAGGTCTGATAAAATGAGAAAGAGTAGTTGATCGACATTAAAAATAGTAGTTCTAATATTGGTGTTTGAGAGCTCAAATCACCGCGGAATCGCAAACAACTCAAGCACTGTCGAGCTGTCAGCAGCAGCGTACCCTCGAAAATTAATGAAGGAGGGTGGACGAATTAAATACAAAACGAATTCCATTACGGTTTTCTTAAATTATTGCCTTTAAATGCAATATGCAAATTCATACTAATATAGTTTTTTTGCAACGGCAATGTCTAGGCATATCTTACATTCGTTTTCACTCGGTTAATTCTTCTAGCCAAATCGGCTTATCCGTTGCATTAATCAATACTTGGGTTAATTCAAGCGTTAGCAATTGGAAATATTAGAAACTACAGTCAATCTGACTGGTTTAAACTAATCAACTGATTCAATGTTAGAATTTTTCAATCACAAATTAATGCATGATTTTAAGATTTTTTCTAAGAATTAATATTGTGTATGAATTTCCAATATTGGATTGGCATGTTTATTTTATTTTAATCATTCACTTATCGTTCACACCCCTTGTTATAAATCATCCACCAAGATTAAACTTTATGACATTAAGTTATATCGACAATTTTTGTCATTAAGGTTAAAATTTAGTTATGATTTGAATGGCTTCCAAAAATCATCAATACGCCAAACCGTGAATCTATCGATTAATCGATAGACTTGCAATTTGACATGTTGATGAAGGTCTTTTCAGGCTGTGATTATTATAACTTTTTTATTATCGTAGTATAGAACTCTAGGGCACTTTCTCTTACTATTTTTTTAAGCAATCCATTGTGGTAAACAAAAATATCAATTCACCTAAAAGTACTCTGATGTCCACCGGTGGCCGTATTATAATTAACATCATTCTTATCTTGTCAATGAGATAGACACCACTCTGCAGTTTTTTCCAGCGCGCACACTAAGAAATTTGGTCTTTAGATTTACTTGTGAGTGAACAGTTTTACTTATTATTATATTATTACTATGTATAATCGAAACACAGAATTTATCGATTGCCTAATATTCCGTAACAATCTGAAGTCAAACAAACCAATTTGGAAAAGGTATTAAAAATTCTTTCATTGTAATTAATTTGTCATTAATATCCTCACTTTACACAATTCACCGTTAAAATAACATACTTTTAAAAGTGATTTTTCATTGTTTTTAGAGACTTTAATTAGAATCTATTTAAAAAGGGTGTGGGACACGTCATCGCATGTCTGCACGCTAGGATTGGGAGGTGCGACCGTACAAACGGTGACCAATCATTAACCTCTGTTTGTTTAACCTAATCCGCCATCCTGATCATGATTAAGCTCCCTGCGAATACACTTTGCTCACAAGATACTTACTGAATAAACGTGCTCCGTGCTACACGTCTGTTTCCTTTATAGCTGGGCTATAGCTTACCTGGTTCTGGGAGTCTAGCTAGATGTTGGAGAATCTGCCATAGAGATTTCTGAGTCAGTCAGACTTTACTAGTGTAGCAATCCGCTACAAGGGCATTAAATTAACTCTTCAAAAAAGGAATAAATCTGCATGTTTTACTTTATTCTTGAAATTTTAG